AATAATAATGTGAATGAATCAACAACACATAGTGAATATCACGATTAACCCCTTAAGGACTGAGCCAAATGTACACGTTGTGAACAAAACAAAACGTAAACAAAACCTGGCATTTGCGCTACATGTCTGTCTAACCGTAATTCACCTCTTTCCTATTAAATGCACCCACCCTTATTAATAATTTTATTCAGGGGAAACAGGGCTTTCATTTAATATCAAACATTTAGCTATGAAACATAATTTAATATGAAAAAAATGGGAGAAAATAAGATATTTTGTTTTTTTTTAGTTCTACATGACATTTTAACTGTCAATGTCATAATGCTGTTTGCTTTTAGTGCAATAAAATACACATATTTGTATTCAGCAAAGTCTCACGTGTAAAACAGTACCCCTTATGTACAGATTTTATGATGTTTTGGGAAGTTACAGGGTCAAATATAGCAAGTTACATTTGAAACTGAAATTCGCCAGATTGGTTACGTTGCCTTTGAGACTGTATAGTAGCCCAGGAATGAAATTTACACCCATAATGGCATCCCATTTGCAATAGTAGACAACCCAAGGTATTGCAAATGGGGTATGTCCAGTCTTTTTTAGTAGCCATTTGGTCACAAACACTGGCCAAAGTTATTTGTGTTTTAAAACAGTAAAAAGTATCACAGTAATAATATTGTCCGTGTAAGTGCTGTTTGTGTGTGAAAAATGCAAAAAACTTCACTTTTACTAGCGATATCATCGTTGTTATACATTATACTGTTTTGAAACACTAATATTTGTGTTCAGCTCAGTCTCCCGAGTAAAACAGTACCCCCCATGTACAGGTTTTATGGTGTCTTGGAAAGTTATAGGGTTAAATATAGTGCTAGCAAATTAAATTCCCTATACTTTCGGCATGGGTTGTCTGGCAGGTCCCGCTAATTGTAATTAATTAAAATACCTAATTATGTAAAAATATTACATAAATACAGTTGTAAGAAAAAGTATGTGAACTCTTTGGAATGATATGCATTTCTGCACAAATTGGTCATAAAATGTGATCTGATCATCATCTAAGTCACAACAATAGACAATCACAGCCTGCTTAAACTAATAACACACAAAGAATGAAATGTTGCCATGTTTTTATTAAACACACCATGTAAACATTCACAGTGCAGGTGGGAAAAGTATGTGAACCCCTAGACTAATGACATCTTCAAGAGCTAATTGGAGTGAGATGTCAGCAAACTGGAGTCCCATCAATGAGATGAGATTGGAGGTGTTGGTTACAGCTGCCCTGCCCTGCCCTATAAAAAACACACACCAGTTCTGGGTTTGCTTTTCACAAGAAGCATTGCCTGATGTGAATGATGCCTTGCACAAAAGAGCTCTCAGAAGACCTACGATTAAGAATTGTTGACTTGCATAAAGCTGGAAAAGGTTATAAAAGTATCTCCAAAAGCCTTGCTGTTCATCAGTCCACAGTAAGACAAATTGTCTATAAATAGAGAAAGTTCAGCACTGCTGCTACTCTCCCTAGGAGTGGCCGTCCTGTAAAGATGACTGCAAGAGCACAGCGCAGACTGCTCAATGAGGTGAAGAAGAATCCTAGAGTGTCAGCTAAAGACTTACAAAAGTCACTGGCAAATGCTAACATCCCTGTTAGCGAATCTACAATACGTAAAACACTAAACAAGAATGGATTTCATGGGAGGATACCACAGAGGAAGCCACTGCTGTCCAAACAAAACATTGCTGCACGTTTACAGTTTGCACAAGAGCACCTGGATGTTCCACAGCAGTACTGGCAAAATATTCTGTGGACAGATGAAACCAAAGTTGAGTTGTTTGGAAGAAACACACAACACTATGTGTGGCGAAAAAAAGGCACGGCACACCAACATCAAAACCTCATCACAACTGTGAAGTATGGTGGTGGGGGCATCATGGTTTGGGGCTGCTTTGCTGTGTAAGGGCCTGGACGGATTGCTATCATCGAAGGAAAAAATGAATTCCCAAGTTTATCAAGACATTTTGCAGGAGAACTTAAGGCCATCTGTCTACCAGCTGAAGCTCAACAGAAGATGGGTGTTAGAAGTAAATCAACAACAGAATGGCTTAAACAGGAGAAAATATGCCTTCTGAAGTAACCCAGTCAGAGTCCTGACCTCAACCCGATTGAGATGCTGTGGCATGACCTCAAGAAAGCGATTCACACCAGACATCCCAAGAATATTGCTGAATTGAAACAGTTCTGTAAAGAGGAATGGTCAAGAATTACTCCTGACCATTGTGCACATCATGATCTGCAACTACAGGAAACGTTTGGTTGAAGTTATTGCTGCCAAAGGAGGTTCAACCAGTTATTAAATCCAAGGGTTCACATACTTTTTCCACCTGCACTGTGAATGTTTACATGGTGTGTTCAATAAAAACATGGCAACATTTCATTCTTTGTGTGTTATTAGTTTAAGCAGACTGTGATTGTCTATTGTTGTGACCACATTTTATGACCAATTTGTGCAGAAATCCATATCATTCCAAAGGGTTCACATACTTTTTCTTGCAACTGTATATATGTAGAATTAATATATGTATATATATATACATATATATATATAATTTTTTAAAAATATTTTTATTTATATATAGGTGTGTATATATATATATATATATATATATATATAGTGATATATATGTATATATTTATGTATATAGATATAAATATAATTTCGTTCTACGTGTATTTTGATATAAATGTAAATATATTAATATCACAATACAGTTAGAACGAAATAACACACATCTATATATTTTTTAATTATTTATTTTTAATTTTTTTATTTTAATTTTTAACGTATTTACATATTTATTTTTTTATATTATATATAAATATATATATAACAATAATTATATATATATATATATATTTAATCAGTATCAGTCTACATGTAATTTGATATTAATATATATATATATATATATATATATAGATATATAGATATATATCTATATATATATATATCTATATATATATATATATATATATATATATATATATATATATATATATATATATATATATATATATATATATATAGATATATATATATATATCTATATATATATATATATATATATATATATAATTATATATATATTAATAGTAAAATACACCTAGACAGTGTATGTGTGTGTATGTATATGTGTATATATATACTTAGATCATATTTATAATATATATATATGATCTAAGTATATAATTTTTTTATTTTATTTTACACTGATTAACTTTATTTTATTTGAATTTAGCCAGCAGGGGGACTAACTGTCATTACAGGCAGTCCCCCTGCTGGCAATGCAGCAGCCAGCTAACCCGGCCATGTGATTGTGAGGTCCTCGCAAGGACCTCACTCTCACATGGCCAGGGGAGGCAGGATACGCTGCGGGTGGACCCTAATCCCCGTGGCACGCCTACTTTTTTTTAAGCAGGAACGCTGTTCCTGCAGGCACTCAGCGCCCCCTGTCTCACCTCTTGCCCCTGTCATGGGGGGGGCCAAGAGGTGATGGATTCCCCCCCCCCTCCATCTCAGCCGTGGCAAGGGAGCTGTGTGCTCTCTGCTTCCTCTTGGCGCGCGCCGTTTGCTGATGCCGGGAGCCGGAATATGACGTCATATTCCGGCTCCCAGCTACTGTATACAGCCCGCGCGGCGAGAGGAAGCAGAGAGCAGCTCCCTCGCCGCGGCTGAGATGGAGACAGGCGCCCACCACACTGGACCCCAGGGACGAGTCCATGCCAGCACTCCAGGTAGGGAGGCTGGGTGGACATTTTCTTATTAAAATATAATAATTTGTATGTGTGTCTGTGAATGTGTGTGTATGTGTCTGTGTGTGAGTGTGTGTGTGTCTGTGAATGTGTGTGAGTGTGTGTGTCTGTGAATGTGTGTGAGTGTGTGTCTGTGAGTGTATGTGTCTGTGAATGTATGAGTGTGTGTCTGTGAGTGTATGTGTGTGTGTGTGTGTCTGAATGTGTCTGTGAGTGTGTGTGTACATACACACGTGTATATAAAAAATTTTTGGGGGGTGGGAATCTTGGGAGAGTTCCCACACATTATTCCACAGGACTTGTACCCTGCTGGCAGGGGAGATCTCCCGATCTCCCCTGTCGGCTCACGCAGAGCCGGCGCTATCTGAGTGCTGGCTCTGCTCTAAGCCTCCATGGGCCGGCGGGGAGACCAAAGATCTACCTCACCGGCCCACAGCAGCATGGAGGAAGGCAGGAGAGGACCCAGGGAGCTCCAGACAGAAGCTCCGCCAGGTTCCTCTCGCGATATCTGAGCATTGCCGCGGCAACGCTCAGATCTTGCGAGAGTTAACTCTAGCCCCGCAGGCTAGAGTTCACTCTCCACTGGATCACCAGGGATGGCACATGGCAGCAAGGATTTACTAATCTGCCCCCACCTCCACAATCCCTCCAAACATACAGCACACACACACATACAGCACCTACACACATACAGCTCACACACAGCACGCTCACACACACAGTACACTAACCGCACCCTCACAAACACACACAGCACCTTTAAAAAAAAACCACAACACCTCACACACAGCACACTAACAGCACCCTCACAAACACACACACACACAAACAGCACCCTCACAAATACACGACACGCACCCTCACAGGACAAACACACAAACACCCTCACACACAAACAGCACAGTCACACACACACACACACACACACACACACAAACACCCTCACATCACACTAACAGCACCCTCACACACACACATCACACTAACAGCACACACAGCACCCTCACACAGCACACTATCAGCACACACAGCAGTGTATGTGTGTGTGTGTGTATATATATATATATATATATTTATACATATATATACACACATATAAATGTGGCGTGTGTTTGTGCTTTAGGGTGCACACCCTAATGCAATAGGCTGCGCACACCTATGGCACAGTATACCTGTATCTGAATGCAAAGGACTTTTATTGAAAGAGGTTAAGATGGATAAACTATAACCATTTATTTATAACCAAAAGCCACAAATAATATATGAAGCTTTCAAACCATGATATAACCAATATACAATACATCCTGAACAACCAGATTCTTATCAAAGTGCCTCCACCCACAAATATAAGTGCCTCCACCCACAAATCTGGCAAATTATTTTCCTTCTTTCATTTCTTATGCACACATTCCAGGGCTTTAAGACCCATTTCCGAACACCTGAACAGAAATACAAGCAAGACATCAGGAAACATGTATTTCAATCAAATAAATACATTCTTCTAAGCAAATAATTGCAATGATTTAAAGAACCAACATTTTTCAACCAGCATTAGTTATTAAGATGTGCTTAATAGGAAAACATATTTTACATTGCTCATTGACATATAAATCTTTAGGTGTTACATCTCAGACACCCCCAGTCCAAACCAAAGTTTGAGCACCTCACCCATCCTTTATAGGTGCCCCTTTGGAGGTTACCAGCAAAGAATTATTAAGGAGATTATCTGGAAGCAGTTTAAGCAGAAAGTATTGCAGTTGGAATGTTAATCTCCCTTGTTAGAATAAGTGTAGGACCCACCTATATTGGGGTACTGAGATTTAGTGGTGGGCTTAACACAATATGGCCATTGGTGTAACCCATATGTGTTTGCAGATTATCAATTCCAGCAGCAGACTCATGCTGATCCCCCTTCGTGTTGCTGAATTTATTTCTTGCAAAAGTTAAGTAAAGAAGAAGGAAATCTTTTCTTCAGACGACATGAAAGGTCTTCCACGCTGCAGGTTAGCACGCTCTTGATAATATGCAAAAAGTGCCCATCTGTAAAACATCTCATGTTTGCAAAAAATCTTAATTGCCAATCAAACCACTGGATTTTTTGAGCTACGAATGTCTGCAACAATCCAGTATTAACCACTCCAAACAATATAGTACTAGACTGACTTGTGCATTTGGTTTTGACCAAATTAAAATTTATTTGAATTGAGACCAATCATTAATACTCAATATATGTTGGGGGATGTGTGTCAGCCTGTCAGTGCGTGTCTGTCTGGCTAAGTGTACTGGTTTCTGTGTATGTGTATCTGGCATCAGACAGACGTATATCCAGGCAAATGACTACAACAATGGATGAGCAAGTTAGTTTGCTTGGGTATTCAGTGTCCAGTCAGTGCTGCTTAAAAACAGATCATTATTGAGAAAGAAAGATGACTGGTGTCTTGGGAAACTGTCCACAAATGTTGATTTTGTTCACAGATCAAGTGAGAAGTGACCAGTAGAGAAAAAAAAAGGAGCAGTAAAAAAAAATTCTAAATTCTACAAAAAGAATATAAGGGATATAACTATGAGATCACACATAGGCCAAGTATCCTTAGTCATAAATTACAATGGGTAAGACCAAAGAATGTAGCTGTGATGTAGCTGTGATGTGCAGCAAAAGGTTGTTGAGCTTCACAAAATCAGTGGCTATAAGAAAATAGCAAGAGCATTGAAATTGCCAATTTCCACCATCAGAGCAATAATTAAGAAGTTCTAGTCAAATGTTATGAATCAACATGGAAGAGGAAGTGTGTCTATATTGTCTCAACACACCGTGAAGAGATTGGTTTGACTGGTCAACAAATTTCCAACAATCACAGCTGGAAAATTACAGAAGTTAGTTGTGTCTTGGGGTCAGAAAGTCTCCAAAACTACAATCCAATGTCAACTACTTTACCACAAGTGTTGCTTGGAAATCCTCTACTCTCATCCAAAAACAAACTTAAGCATCTTCAGTTTGCCAGACACTATTGGAACTTCAAGTGGGATTGGGTTCTATGAAACCAGATGAAACCAAAATAGAGCCTTTTGACAACAAACACCTGAGGTGGGATTGGTGCACACAAAGAGTTAGCCATATGGAAAAGTGCCTCATGACCACAGTTAAATATGAAGGTGGCTATTTAATGTTTTTGGGGTTGGTTTTCTGCTAGAGGGACTGGACATTTTGTTAGAATACATGGCATCATGTACTCTATCAAAAATCAACAGATATTAAATAAATACCTGCCAGCCTCTGCCAGAAAGCTTAAAATAGGCCGTGGTTGCATCTTCCAGCAGAACAATGATCCAAAGTATGCCTCAAAATCAACACACAAATAGTTTACTGAGCACAAAATCCAGGTCATATCAAGGACATCCCAGGCCCCTGACTTGAACCCTATAGAAAACATGTGGGGTGAATTGAAGAGGAAAGTACACCACCGTTGACCAAATTTGAAGGATCTGAAGATATTCTGTATGGAGGAATGGTTTCACATCCCTTGCCATGTATTTGCTAACCTCATCAGGCATTACAGGAGAAGACTTTGAGATGTTTTCTTGTCAAATAGAGATAGCACAAAGTATTGACTAAAATGGCGCCAATAATTGTGCCAAACATATATTTAGCAATGATTTTATTTTGGATAACCCCGTGTTTGCAATTGTTTGAT